TTAAATGCACACGAAAAATTATCAGGCATGTTATACTTATACTCCGTATAACACACAAGAATGAATATATAATACACAAAAAACGTTAGATAGAAAACACACAAGAAAAAAATGTTTGACGCACACGAATAAATATGTATTAATTAAATGAAACAAAAATGGTAATGTAATGATTGCTTCCAAAAATGACTTATTTCAATTCATATAATAACTTCAAAAAGTTGGTTACAAACTACAAATAAATACGTATAACTTCAAAATGATATTATACATATTTTATTTTACAAAAATTACATATGACATATTGGTGTCATATGAAAGAGCATTGTTGAGGTTTTGTCCCGTAGATTCGGAAGCCCAACATAAACTTCGGATATTAAGGACGATGGATTCGGTATAAAAGTGAATAATAATATAAAGTGTTTAAACTAAGCTGTTTTTACGTGGAAACCCGGAAAGGGAGAAAACCACGGGACTTTTTAGGCTAACGTCCAAGCCCGCTCTTTTCATTGATATACTCTCCTCACCATTTACATGATATATTTTTAGCTTCCATTGATGGAGCTTGGGCTACTCTAATCTAACAAGATGAAGAAGAATAGGCAAGGAGGGAGGAGAAGAGCCAAAATCCGATCCTTACAAAGGAAGCCAAACTTCCTACTTATAGAGTGGGGGATGGGGCTTCCTAATCTAATGGGCCGGAAATGGGCCGAGGTAAGCCCAAGTGGGCCAAAATGGGCCAGGGTGGCCAAATTGAGCCTCGCGGACCAGGCCCGACATGGGGGCGGTGTCTTGGACCTCTGAACAGTAATAGGCCGGGGTAATATACCCCAACACAAGTCCCCCAGTTTCTTGAGTAGTGAGCCTGCAAATATACTCGAGAAAGTATAATCCTGCTCACGTCCTTCCCTGCCTTCCCTGAATCAGTCTTGGAATAATCTCGGACGCAAGGCATGCATAAGCCATAAGTGAGGTGCAATCCCGCACTAGGCACGACGGCGCTAAAGAGCCAGCCGCTCGTGCTGCATAAGACGGCAGTCCCGACCCTGAGCCAGGCACGACGGTGCTGTGGAGACCGTGCGTGCTGCATAAGAGCGATGGTCGCCATCCCAGAGCAAGGATGGACGAGCCCGTCAGAAAAGCCATGCACGACGGTGCTGTGGAGCCCGTACGTGCTGCATAAGAGCGACGGTCGCCATCCCAGAGCAGGAATGGACGAGCCCGTCAGAAAGCCATGCACGACGGTGCTGTGGAGCCCGTATGTGCTGCATAAGAGCGACGGTCTCCATCCCAGAGCAAGGATGGACGAGCCCGCCAGAAAGCCAGGCACGACGGTGCTGTGGAGCCCGTACGTGGTGCATAAAATAAGCGGTCGTCATCCTAGATTAAGGATGGACGAACCTGACTCGGACAGACATGGACTTGACTCGACTCAGACGGACCTTGACTTGACTCAGACAGACATGGACTTGACTCAGACAGACATGGACTTGACTCGACTCAGACAGACCTTGACTTGACTCAGACAGACATGGACTTGACTCGAGACACTGTGGGCCATCATGAATTCACATCACCTCCAAGCCAATTTATATCCCCCGTTCGCTCGCCTTCACCAAACGGGTCGTTCTCCCCTGGTCGTTCAAACCAATAGTTCCATTCGCCCGTTCGTCCCACCGATCTGATATACAACGATGATCACGTCGTGCCGAGGTGGCTGATCGTAGAGCTACATAAGCGGTCAGATCATCTGGATAATAGGTCATTTCTGCTATAAGTCAGCACCAAGGTTAAGGTGCAAGCCGTTCGGCTTATTCCCGCCGGCTGTTCGTAGTTTCCTGATCCGCAAGACATTAGTTCTTTCTGCCTGCTGCCTTGTAGGCCCAAGGCTGATGTAACCTGTTCGGGTTATCATCCATGTTTTTCCTGATCCGCAAGGCATTACCTCTTGCTGCCTGCTGCCTTGTAGGCCCAAGGCTGATGTAACCTGTTCGCGTTATCATCCATGTTTTCCCTGTTGCAAGACAGTTCCACAATTGTGTAGTGTCTGCCATCTTCCAAACCCATAATTCCGATGCATACCGTCCGGTTTTACCGTCCGGGGTCATCCATATCATGAGGTTGAGATGTCCATCCTGGACCATTGAGAATAAGGCTCCCAATTCGGGTCTCCCCCTTATCCTCTGCCAAAATGGAGACTCGCCTCCAGGTTACAGCTCGGGTTCCACCACAACGAATCACTTCATCGTGGTTCGTGCGAGCTGCATAGCCAAGGCGAGATTTTAAGACCAGAGTCCCTATCCCCTGCTCGGTCACCCTACATTTTCGGATGCCCGCCCAGTTCGTCCTACTCAAGATCTTCACCATCTCCCAAGCTGAATCCGGACTTGGTTAACCTGCACTTTTTTTTTTGTACCGAGATGATGGCTCCCCATGGATCGAGACAAGTGGTATCTATCGATCGAGGTGAGACTTTATGGAATGTGAAGATGCCTCCAAAGCAAATAATGTTGTGCCGTGGGGCTGATCATGATATGAGGAACATCAATAAATCCAAGGGTCTTGCGAGCGCCCTCTGCTCAAGGACAGTGGCAGCAACTGCGGCAGCGATCCACAAAATGTAGCCATGCTGAAAGTCAAGCAATGGTCCTTATCCGCGTAGTGCGGGGACGAGGCCGGGTTTTCAAAGATGATAAACACGTAGTGAAGACGGGCCGATCGTGATATGATGATGTCGGCAATGAGAAGCCAACCTGAAAATCAAGCAACGGTCCTTATCCATGCAGTGCGGGGATGAGGCCGGTCTTCAAAATATGATAATGGCACCGTACCAGAGGGTCGGTGGCCATGTAATGAGGTCGCCACTGGAGGCTGATCGGAAAGGAACAAGCAACGGTCCTTATCTGCGCAGTGCGGGGACAATGCCGGTCTTCAAATATGATAATGGCACCGTACCAGAGGGTCGGTGGCCATGTAAAGATGTCGGCACTGGGGGCCGATCAAAAACAAATAATCAACGGTCCTCATCCGCGAGGAGCGGAGATGAAGCCGGTCTTCCAAATGATCATCACGCCGAGCCAGGAAGATCGGTCTGTCGTGGTGAAAAGAAAGTCAGCGCTGGGAGGAGCTCCTTGTATACTGCTCAATGTTGCCCGCTCTAACCGCTCTTTGATTTAGCCCCTCATTATGATCTTCAACTAGAATGTCAAGATTTACTATTTGAGAGTGAAAGTTACAGATGAATGCTTCAATTTGATTGTGATTCTCCTCCTTTTGAGTCTTCATGCTAGCAACATTTGTTTATAAGGATTTTCATATTCTATTTAAACGTGATAATAGTCTCAGTATCTAAGAATTTTTTACCCTAGCTCGCGAGAGCTGAGGGTTCGGGAAATTCGTTGTCATCATGCGGCGCGAGGTTGTTTTGCCGATCGGGAGGGACGAGGAGCGAGATTCGATCGACCGGTGCAACAGGGAGATGGGCGAAGCAGATGATGCTGGACGAAGAGAGGCTCGGGAACAGGAATTTGAACAGGTCGGGCAGCTCGCGGCCAATTACGGTGGGCTGGGAATTGGGGGTCTACAAGATGAACTGGTGATTGATGACAAAGAGGAAGGGGAATTGACGACCGTGGTAGCGAAGGCAAAGGAATTTCCGGTGGTCGGGACGGTTCTTACGGACAAGGTCATCCGATTTCCGTTCTTCCGAGGCTTCATGGCTGATCTTTGGCACTCGGGTAAGGGTATTGTTATACAAGAAATTGGAGAACGAAGGTACCTGTTTAAATTTTTTTCATTCTGTTGATATGAATCGGGTCCTGGAAAATGGACCATGGTTGTATGATCAAAGTTTGCATGTGCTAAAAGCTGTCAAACCGGGTGATATCCCGACTAAAATGGTGCTAGCTGAATTTGAGATTTGGGTACAGGTCCATAATGTGCCGTATGATTTTGAAAATTTGGGGACGGCAAGGAGAATAGGGAACTATTTGGGGGAGTTTATCAAATGGGATGAACAAAAATTCAGTAGTAAAAAGGAGGCTTATATGCGTGTGAGAGTTCGTATGAACACGGGCAAAGCCTTAAAGATTGGAATTACTCTAAGGAAAAGTAAGGGTGAAGGGCACTGGGTAGATTTTAAATATGAAAAGCTGCCAAGTTTCTGTTTCTGCTATGGTATAATTGGCCATGCAGAGAAATTTTGCCCTTTGCTGTACGAGAAGGAGGGACATGCTATGACCAAACATTTTGGGCCATGGCTTAGAGCAAGTGGCAGGAGCTCGAAATCTGATTTGGGGAGCAGATGGCTGATAACGGAAGAAAGTTCCGCTGGTGATGATATGCACTTATCTAATTTGGTGAAACCAAGGCAGGTAGGGGTCTCAGAGGAGAAGGGGGAGAGCTCTTTGGCGGTTGTGGGAACAGAGGTGGCCTCAAGCGAGCTCGAAGAGGAAGGAATGATCGGGGAGCCGAAAAGAAGACGTACTTGGGAGGTCTATGCGAGGGAGGGGGCTGGAATGGATGCTATGGCACTGGACCTTCCAAAAAACGGAGATGGGGCGGGTGCTGGTCTCCAGCCCCGCCAGAGGACCTGATGATGGGTACAACTTTTTTAGCTGAAGAACTTTTCTTTACTAGTTATTGTGTTTTGTTTATTTTCCACGTTCTGGGTGTTATTTTTTCTTTGATTGGGCTGGGTTTTTCCAGCAAGAATACTTTGGAAACTAAAACAGGTACTGATGTGTCGTGTCTACAAGTCATAGAATTAGGTATGTCCAAAGTGGGATCAGCGAATTATATGGCTTCTACGGAGGTGATTAATTCAGAGTCTGGTCCTTGGGGGACTTGTTGTTACACGGTTACCTGGTTTAGTTCAGTTTGTTTGGTCCTTTTTAATATGATATATTAAGCCAGTTTCGTTCAAAAAAATTTTAAACTTGATAATAGTATTATTTTAGAATTTCAAAATATTTTCACTCTTCCATTTTTTTTCAAAATATTATGGAAAAGAAAGGATAGAAATTTAGGGCGGAAGCGTGGAAGGCGACCCGAAATCTAGCGCAGCAGTATTTTAATTTCCGTGATTTTCATCTTCTAGGTTGAATTAGCGGAGACACGAAAATATAGCGAGAAAGAGAAAAAGAAGTGCAGGAGCCCACTGTTTTTGAGAGAAAGAAAACGTAAGGAAACATGCAACACGAAATGAACAAACCCCTAAACTAGAAAGATATTTTTTGCCTCCCCCACCCTCCAAAAGATAGCACCTTTAGGGTTTTTTGCCTCTCCCTTCTCATGCCATCTCGCCGTATCAGTTTTGCGTACCCATGTGTATGCAGTTATTTGTCTGCAATGATTCATCTGCTGTTTTTTTCTCTGTTTATTACCTATATTTATTTCCTGAGTTTTAACTTTTGAGCGTAATTTGAGCATTTTTATGTGCACGGGGTTTGAATACGGTTGACTTATGTTGATTTCTGGATCTGCTTTTTTTGTGATTTTGAATGTTTATCTTTCAGGGGTTTCCGTCTCATGCAAAGCTTTGATTTGGTTTTCTGTCTGATGCTGACGAAAATTGTGGGAATTTCATTGTATATTTGTCCACAAGAAACGAGAATATCGGTTTGAATACAGGAGTTTGAACAAGACGCCTGCAGTTCGTTTTGAATTTGAGGAATTCGAGGAGAGAAAGAGGGGATAAATCTTTTCTAAATTTGAATTTGTTTAGGTTTCTGAGTATGACTACATCCTGGGCTGATTCTGTTTCCGCGGCAGAAAACGCCACCCCTGCTCCATCCAAGGGAACCTATGTACCACCACACCTGAGAAACAGGCCGCAGCCTTCATCAGAACCTACTAAACCTGCAACAGCTTCCTATTCCAATCCTGGTGCAACAGGGAATGAGCGAGCTCATTATGGGGCGCCCGGCGGTGGTAGTCGTTGGAATGGTCCTAGAAATGAGTCACGCTTCGGCTATGGTGGGGGTGGGGGTGGTTGGAATGCGAGAACTGGTGGTTGGGATCGTGCTGGTCAACGGGAGTCAAACCCATTCGGAGATGATGTGGATCAACCTTTTGATGAACAAGAGAGTTCGAGCATTAATTTCGATGCATACGAAGATATTCCTGTTGAGACGAGTGGGGACCATGTGCCTCCTCCGGTGAATACGTTTGCAGAAATTGATTTAGGGGAAGCTGTAAACAGTAACATTAGGAGGTGTAAGTATGTGAAGCCTACGCCTGTTCAACGTCATGCTATCCCAATTGTACTCTCCGGAAGGGACTTGATGGCATGTGCTCAGACCGGTTCAGGAAAAACGGCTGCTTTTTGCTTCCCAATCATTAGTGGAATCATGAGGGGTCAGTTTTTAAGGCCACCAAGGCCACGCATGGCGTTACCTCTTGCTCTTATTCTTTCTCCAACCAGGGAGCTCTCCTGCCAAGTGCGTTTCTGGTATTTTATGTTGGAAACTGGATGTCACAGCAAGAGATGACATTTTCTTAATTTTTAATTCGTAGATTCATGAAGAAGCCAGGAAATTTTCATACCAAACTGGAGTCAGGGTGGTTGTTGCATATGGTGGCGCACCCATAGGCCAACAGGTGCTATTTCTCCCCTTTTAACACTGCCTTTTAAGCTCCCTTTTGGTTGCAACTTTCAGCTTATCGCGCTTATGTAAATAGCTTTTGACTTACATTCGCATAATACGTTTTTACCAAATCCATCCATTGTAGTGAAAAATCCGTACCAAATGGGCTCTTTATCACTGTTGTATATTCCTAACTCTGATTAATCTGCGACTAGGCCCCAGTTTGCCCCTTAGCTTGCCTTTATGGCTTTTCACATTGTTTGTTTTAAAGCAGGCGTGAATAACTTAATTTGTTGCTTAGACAGTCAATTGTGGAACTTCCAGGTTATCCTTTAGGGTCTGGTCGGAACAAGAAAAATGCTAGGGAAAGAATACCGGGAGGAAAAATGGAAAATAAAGAGGTCATTTGGAAGGAAACAAAGCTTGGGGCAAACAGAAATCTGTTTCAAACTTTTTAAATCATTTTAGACATTTTTTCCTTACTATTTTAATAGTTCTATAATATAAATATTCCTCTGTTTTTATTTAATTTCTCTACATTTCTCTTTCGGTAGTTGTTTTTTTCTTTCTCAAGTTCCTAATTTGGCAAGTCTTACACTTACTTTTACCTTTATTCACTTAAATAACCCTCACATTTTCATCTTCTCTTCCTTACTTTTCCTACTTTTCATACCTTTCACCATCTCTCACTACTATTCACTATTTCGACCATTTTATCTTAAAATCCATGATTTTTTTTATCTTAAAATCCGTGAAAACCCTATGTGAACAATCAAATGAAAACAGAGGGAGTATTAGGATATGTTATGTAATATAATAAAAATTGCTTTTTCCTCAATGTAAAGTTAAGTATTCTGAATTTAATACCCCTTCCACAAAATAAACTTCATTCTTTACGTTTTTGACCATCCCAAAATAAACGTTTACTTTTCTTTTAATGAAAGGATTCTGTGGTTCATATCATTTTTACTCCAATAGACAACTTTGAATCACACGTTTCAATTTAATCCCTGTGACAAGTCAAAACAGGAGATAATAATGGGACTGTGGGAGTAGCCGAGTAGTATTTAGTTGTAGCTATTTAAATTAAGTCTTCATCGCCTATGCAATGATAGCTAACAACATAACATTGAGCTACATATTAAAGTATTATCGCTCAAAACGGTTCAAGTTATATCATTCTAGTTCCTGATTATGTAAATTGGCAGCTGCGGGAACTGGAGAGGGGCGTGGATATACTTGTAGCAACCCCTGGTAGATTAGTGGACTTGCTGGAGAGGGCAAGAGTGTCGTTAGAGATGATCAGGTACCTGGCTTTAGATGAAGCAGATCGGATGCTGGACATGGGTTTTGAACCCCAAATAAGGAAAATTGTGCAAGAGGCTGATATGCCCCCACCTGGTGTAAGGCAGACAATGCTCTTCAGTGCTACCTTCCCGAAAGAGATTCAGGTTTTTTAATGCTTTTATTTTCTCCCTAGTACCCTCCATTGAGGGGGAATATTGGCTTGGACATATGTTCTCAAATAGATCCTCCTACTATCTTTAAATAGCAATGAGACCCCCATACTCATAAAGCACTCAATCAAACACACTACCTCATTAAAAAGTACCAATTGGTCAGTTTCGCAGGTTCATTAAGGAGTAAGGAGTTACTTCACTTACTTGTCGCACCTTTGTCACACCACCCCCACATGACTGCAACCATATACCATTTTAAGCCTTGCCAAATCATTATTTATTTATTTTATTAATTTTTTTTATTCCACTTTCTTCATCTCCTTTTTCAGTATCATTAATTCAAGTTGTCAGCTGTTTGGTGGCACTATTTTCCAAGAGCGAGCATACACTGTACACTCGGTTGTGCAGTACTCACAGTACAATTGGATATTTTATGTTATGCTTAATGCGTATAACGTTTAAAAGAATTGAGTATTAGTATTAAATCACTGTATTGGTAGCGCAATTGAGTAATAGAAGCATGCAATTGAGTATCATGATCTACACATAATATATATGCTACAGATCAACTTATTCCTTTAACTATATTAGCATCGTATTATCATCAAAATATTTATTGTGCTAATTTTATACTATCGTAATTTAATAGCAACACTCATTGAAACGGTATACTCATTTCTTTTAACATAAAATAACCGGCTGTACCGTGTGCACTGAACAGCCGCTGTACCGTATAATTTGCACTATTTTCCAGTGGCACCGTATATGAAAATATTTATGTGCCGCACTCAAAGTAGTCGAAATCGCGAGGCACACTCAAAGCGCTAGGGCACTCCGGCTGAGGCGCAGGGCGCAAAAAAGGCGCTAGCCTGACTCATGTCAGGCGCAATGCTTAGAAAATAGTACAAATACTGTACTACAATTATCAAACATGATGTATATAACATCATATTGAACCAAATGCATTAAAAACTCGTGTATCTCAAAAGCAAAGTCATAATTCGCCAAAATAGTCACGGTCCACCAAAATAAAGTATGAATTTGCATCATTTTTATCAGCCAAGTAATTGTGTTTCCAAGTTGGGTCTTTTTGGTTGACATGGCAGCTTCAGGACCTGCGACTTAAGGTCCATCTTCCATGTCCTATGAAAGCACAATGCAAAAATTATATGTAGTTTATGAATCTATTAAATGATTTAAATCCTTTAAAGAAATGATTTAGATTATATGAAGTGTACATGTAATGAAATATGAAAATATTTCATTAAATCCTTTAATGAAAATATGAAATAATAATAAGAAGAAATAGAGTTATACATGGATAGACTTGTAGTATACTTATATATGTTTGAGTAATATAGACTTATAGAGTATATGAAAGAAGACGTAGATGCTGAAAAAAGAAAGAAGAAAGAAAATGGGAAGATGATGAAGACGAAGACTTACTGTGGTTGAGCATTAAGTGCTGCTAGCTTCTTTGGGTGATCGTTGAGTGCTGCTTTCGGAGCTGAGAGGTAGTGTGAGTAGACCAGATATCAGGAGAAATGAAGTCCCGATATAACACTTATTGTGACTTATAAGGTCTAACGTAGGTTTAAGTTGTTTTGATCATTTATAATGATTTAAAAATATGCGCTTATTATTGAAAAGAGGTGGACATCCCTTTCCCACCTTAGGCGGTTAAAGCGATCACTATTTTTCGCATCATCGCTTCGGCGCTTCATGCGCAACAGATGCGCCTGGCAGCCTTACAGGCGCTAAGGGTCATCTGCGTCTCACCTGGTGCACTTAAGTGCCTAGGCGCTCGCTTTTGACTACACTAGGCGGCACCCAATATCCACGTTAGCTCCTTCGTCAGCCTGCTGATCAGATCTGGGTTGCTACTTGAAGTTCGCACAGTAACTCTGGGCATCATCATTGGTTGACCCTTGCGCTGGTCTGATCTATGAACATTTCATTTTCATTTACCCCAGTGCCGCAAAGGCTCCTACCTACGGTGGGGTAAGGGGGGTCGGATGTACGCAGTCTTACCCCTGTACTAAAGCACAGAGAGACTGTTTCCGGATGACCCATAGTGAAAATCGTGTCCGAAATTGCATGGACTGACTGCTGCTTCATAACAAAGAAGCGCAGACAGTTTAATGAACCATTTTGCTTTATTCCATCATATTCTCAAGCCAAAAAATAATGAATCTTTGGCTCCATTGCAAATGATGGAGCTCTGATCTATGAACAAAGAAGAAAAAGACTAGAAAATCAAAATAGAAAAAATGGCCTGACCTATGAAGAGAAGACCAGGAAAAAAATGTTCTGATCTATGAATGAAGAGGAGGAAGACCATGGAAAAGAAGAAGAGTATCTTTGTATCATAAAATATAAGAAGGGATAGAATTGAAGGCCACATGTGTGGGAAAACCTGAAAACCTGCTGTGACTACCCAAATCCACAAATTTGGTGTTTTTTCATGAGTTTCATTGGATGCTTTTTAGGGGTATGGGAGCCTAATTGCCAATTTGATGATAGGAGCTAGGACGGTCTATTTGAAAGTTCCCTCTATTTGAAACCCTAACTACTTTTAGACTGGTGACATGAAATTTGTCGTGTCAATTACTACCAATGCACAACTTTTTAATTTGATAAGATATAATTTCATAGATTATGAATCATATTTATCTTTTTTTCATTTTTTTGCTTTTGCTTAAACGATCACATGTAACTTGCATGCGACCCTTTTTACCATTCTTTAGCAAGTTGCATGATAGAATATATTCATTTGATGAAATTCAATTCATTTTTGGGTTAGCAGGAGTATTTTTTTAATAATTAGTTAACACTATTAACTCAAGAAATAAAGCTTATTTGCACAGTTTATGTTTATTTGCTGATTCTTGCATATTTGGACTGCATGAGTTTTCTTGTTTTTGGGATGTTGACCCTTTTTTTAACGCAGAAATTGGCAGTAGATTTTCTATCAGATTACATCTTTTTGGCTGTTGGGAGGGTTGGATCAAGTACTGATCTGATTGTGCAAAGAGTTGAATATGTTCAAGAAACTGACAAGAGAAGCCATTTAATGGATCTCCTCCTTGCACAAATGGCAGATGGCAAGGTAATGATTTAATACATAAATTTATTTAAATATGTACGCATAAAAACACACGGATTCCCTCTATCCACTTTTACTTGCTCTACTAGTCTACTTTCCAGGTTTGACAACTTTTCATACCTTTTCATCTCTAAAAGATATAAATACTAAGCTATCCTTTCTTTTCATTTCCATTTCCAACTTTTTCTACTTTTGATCTCCTCTCTCCTATGTGTTCAACACTAAATACTACCTCCATCCCACTAAGATTGGGACATGAGAAGGTGACACGGTTATTAAGAAAAGTGAGTTTGTGTGGTTGATATTAAATTGATAAAGTAAGAATAAAGTAAGAATGATTTAGAGCCACACAAACTTTACCAAATTTGGTATGATACAATCTTAGTGGGACTTCCCGAAAAGGTAAAATGGGACAATCTTAGCGGGACAGAGGGAAGTACTTCAGTTTTGGTCTTAGTTTACATGAAGAACCTACTAGAGCAAGGGAAAGGAGTGGTGAGTGTATGTACGTGTAAACACACATAAGGAGCAGCTCTAACTTTTAGTGGCAATTTTAATGTTAATATACCCCAAAATAAAGATATATTGTGCACGCTCGCCGCTCTCTGCATATATGTATGTGCTCTTTTTGCATGTATGTGTCTAGTTTTTTTGTGCACACCACAATTACATGCACTCATACACACTTGCATGGTTTATGGGTGGATAAGTAAGTGCATAGTGTGTATATTAACAACCCTGCCTATGCATAAGAATTAAAAAATCATTAATTTTGTTTAACATATGGTCGTTGTTGCTATTAATAATTGTGTTGCAAACTTCTAATTTGCAGCAATGTCTTACCCTTGTTTTTGTGGAGACGAAGAAAGGAGCCGATTCTCTAGAACATTGGCTTTCTATTAACGGTTTCCCTGCCACAGCTATACATGGCGATAGGACACAACAGGTATCGATTGCTTTATTACTCCCCTTATTTAATACAAATTTCTTGGTGCTATCATTAACATCCGCTGTCACTCAATTGAATAAAGGGAAAAGGAACATGGATACCCCTAAACTATAAGCATGAGAACATATATACCCTCATTGTATTTTTTTGAACAAAAAGCTTACAAAAGTGAAATTAGGGTGCAAATATATCCTTTCTAACGTTTTATTATCTTCCTGTCAGATCCAAGCTTTACTACCTAACTGTTAATTTATTTTATTATTTGTATGTGCCTCTTCTCCATCTTGGCAGAAATAACCCAAATTAATTCTTCACTACGGTAAAGCAAACCAGACCACCATCCATAGCTAGAGCTTCTCCCTCCTTGTTATTAATATGTGGTATTTCTTGATGTCTTTTTTTTCTTCCTCAATTTGTCAACAAAATCTCTAAACCATATCAATTTCGAGCTAGACTGCGAAGGAAAATGTAAAAAGTGCTTTTGTGGACAAAGAGCTCCTACTAGATTAGACTCTGAATAATCCTAGACGGCATTTACAACTTCTGCTTTCTCTTTTTAGTGCATCTAGAGCTCTAAAATTAATGATAACCAGGCCCAACACTTCATTTTATTTTCAAGTAGCAGTTTCCTAAAGAAAACAATTGAACTAAAAGTTAGTAAATCTGAAAATATAGCCAAGAAAAAACCTATTCCAGAAATTTACATTTAATTTGGGAAGCAGGGATGACACAGTAGTATGATTTAGGTCCAATTACTTGAATAGCCATGGACAGAGATATTTCCTTAAAGAAAATTGATTTGTACCCATAAATCTGGGTATTTGATTTGAACATATAAAAATCGGAACCCGTTATGAATCGAGTAATATAAGTTACACAGGTTTCATCTTCCTCCCTCTGCAAAGGGTGTGCTTTTGGGTTAGTGTGAACCTGACGGGGAAGTTCTAAACGTCAATGGGTGTTGATTTGTACCCTTCTTTTAGTTTAATAAGCTTTTTGTTCTAAAAAATAAATTAGGGGTATATATGTTCCCACCACACATATAGTGTAGGGGTATTCATGTTCCTTTTCCCTTGAATAAATAATTGCAGTTTTCATTTAACGAATTGATGTAACCTGCACTCCAATTTCTTAGTCTGTCATGGTCGAGTAATTCAATAGCAAAAGCTTATTTAGTTCTCATTTAATAAAAAATATGTACAAGCCTTTACAAACGTATATTTATTCTTTCCATTTTACGGTTCAGAGTTTATCATAATAGTAAGAATATATACATCATCCTTAATACTCCGTCTGTCTCATATTATGGTAGGACCTTGCAAATAGTTTCCATCTTTTGGTGAGTCCAACATGTGTAGGTAGTGTGTTTTTCTGTCAGTTTGGTTTTGAAAAACCCCAAGTTGAAAATCAAACCAAAAAGGAAAATTCTTGAAGTAGTGGTAAAAACGTTTTGGAATTCCAAAATTGGAGTACGTACTGCCAATATTGGAAAATACTGTCATGTTTAAAGCAGGGTAATGCCAAAACATGGCAGTAACTACATGTATTTAGCGAATAAAAATGTAGTACTATTTTGGAATTCACATACGTTTTTGCTCCTATTCAGGACAATTTCTTAAACAAAAAAACTGAAGTTGGTTTTGGTTGAGTTTTTGTTGTTTCTGAGCCAGTTTGTGGTGGTTAGTGATTTTCCTTGACATTAAACAAAAACTAAACCGCCTATGGGCTATGGTTGAAGTTTCAGCTGGTTTAGTTTTGGATGGTTTGAATCTGGCAGTTTTCTTGTTCATCCCTTTTTACTTGTTAGTGCGATTGGGTGCACATTACAGTCTAACACATTGAACCTGTAATTTACCTGTTTTGGGCTATAGTTAGTCTATGGGCTATGGTGCACATAGTCTTTGGGCTATGGCCTAGGGTTAGTTTTATTTCATTTAGTTTTGAAGAATATTAAAGTGAAATTGTTATTACAATCTACTAAGCCAATGTTTGTTGTTCAGGAAAGAGAACAGGCTCTGAGAGCTTTCAAAAGTGGTAGGACGCCGATTCTGGTTGCAACTGATGTGGCGGCACGTGGTCTTGACATTCCTCATGTCGCGCATGTCGTCAATTTTGACCTCCCAAATGATATTGATGATTATGTCCACCGCATAGGAAGAACCGGGCGTGCTGGGAAAACTGGTTTGGCCACTGCTTTCTTCAATGAGGGAAATTCTTCCATTGCAAGGTCATTGTCTGATCTAATGCAAGAGGCTAATCAAGAAGTCCCTGCTTGGCTTTCCCGCTTTGCTGCCAGATCATCCTCACATGGTGGCAAGAACCGCAGGGGCAGTGGCGGCCGCTTTGGTGGCCGTGATTTTAGGAAAGAGACGTCTTACAGTAGGGGCAGTTCAGACTTTTATCCAGGCAGCAATATGGGGGGTGGTTATGGCTCGTTTGGCGGCGGGTATAATAGTGCCTCATATGGTGCTGGTGTGGCTAGTGCTTGGGATTAACAAATTCAAATTTGTCTGATTTAGCAACCCGAGTTTTAGGTACTGCTAGAAACCAGTTCCTCGATGTGGGTCCGGCAGGGAGGGAACCTCCGTGGTGGGGTACGCCAGTAGTATATAATTAGATATGTGTGGTGCTTTTATTTTATTTTTCTTTATTTTGTCAGGTTGAAGATATCTTGGCTTTGTACTCTGAAGTTTTGATGGATGGAGGTGTGAGGGAGGGTGCTTCTGTGTAAATGTTGGCAGGCTAGAATGAATAAATCTGCTAACAACTCCATTCTTATGTAATATTTGCTTCTTGACTTAATAATCCAATTTCAACTGTTAACATTTGGTTAAATCTACCAAAGATGAATTGCCCCCCCCCCCCA